GTGAGCACAATGTCATCAACATATAGAAGTAGCAAGGCTGTTCCTTGAGGATTATGCAAGACAAACAATGAGGAGTCTGCTTGACTGCAAAAGAAGCCCATACTCAAAAGATGTAGTGTAAAGGTGTCAAACCAGGCCCTTGGAGCTTGTTTAAGGCCATAAATGGAGCGATTTAGTTGGCAAACATAGTGAGGGTATGTCAGATCTTCAAAACCTGGTGGTTGATTCATATAAACTGTCTCCTTGAGTTCACCATGAAGGAAGGCGTTCTTCACATCAAGTTGTCGGAGAGGCCAAGCACATGTTGTGGCAAGAGCAAGGACCATACGAAGAGTGGTTGGTTTGAGGACAGGGCTAAAAGTCTCATCAAATCAACTCCAGGAACTTGAGAGAAGCCTTTAGCCACTAGTCGTGCTTTAAACCTTTCTACCGTGCCATCGGGATTTAGCTTGGTTTTGAAGACCCATCTTGAGCCAACAATATTTGTCTCTAGTGGAGGAGGCACTAGGTTCCATGTATTGTTTTGATGAAGTGCAGCTAGTTCTTCCTTCATTGCTTGAAGCCAATGGGGGGCTCGAAGGGCCTGTTGGACATTTTTGGGCTCTTTGATGTCAAGACTTGCAGAAGATATGTCATTAGTAATCATGGTGTTAGCATTTTTTGGAAAAATTGTTTTCACATGTCTTGTATGTGTACCAATCCGAGTTCTTGTAAGCATAGGATGAGTAGAAATAGAAGTAGTGTTGTGAGAGGGTGGTGAGACTCCCTGAATATTTCGATTTTGGACTTCATGCCCAGCCACGGCTTCAATAATTTGGTGTGGATCTCCACTAGTCACATCTACATTGTTTTGTTGATTTTTTGCTAGATGTGAGATCATGGAATTTTGCCCAGTTTCTGAAACATTCAAGTTGGCATTGTCTTGATGTTGTGGAGAGGAATCTTGGTGCTGTTGAGGTATAACTCCCATCACCCCGGCTGGATCAGGTACTGTTGTGGGTTCAGGTAGATGCTGAAAGTGCTCCCTTTCATCTTGACAATCTATGGCATGTTGATACTGTGATTGGGAATTAGTTTCAAGTTCATCTACATGTCGTGAGGGCTGAAGATGGGAAGAAGCTTGAAACCACTCATTTGAGTCTGGATACTTGCAAAATTCTCCATCTGTAGTGACATTCTTAGACATTTTTGTTAGATCTGTATAAGGTAAAAAATGTTCATCAAAAGCAACATGTCTTGAAATGTAGACACGTTGAGAAGGAGGGTGTAGGCATTTATATCCTTTATGTAATGGGCTGTACCCAATGAAAACACATGGCAATGATCTTGGATGTAACTTATGAGCTGCATAGTCACGGAGATAGGGAAAACAACGACATCCAAACACTTTTAGCATTGAATAATTAGGAGTTTTGTCAAAAAGTACATGAAAAGGACTTTTATTGTTCAAAATAGGAGTAGGTAATCTATTAATAAGATAAATAGCAGTAGAGAAACTTTCTACCCAATAGCGTGGTGGCATATTTGCATGAAGAAGCATAGTCAAACCTGTCTCAACAATGTGCCTATGTTTCCTTTCGGCAATCCCATTCTGCTCTGGAGTACCAGGGCATGAGACTTGTTGTATAATGCCATAAGTTGCCAAATGATCAAGGAAAGCAGAACTTGAGAATTCTCCTCCTCCATCACATTGAAAGATCTGAATGGTTTTGTGGAATTGATTCTCAATCAACTTTTGGAATTTCTGAAAAGTACTAAAGAATTCAGACTTCTTACGGAGGGGATAGAACCATGTGTACCTGCTATAATCATCTATAAAAATCACATAATATGAAAAGTGATGAATAGAATCAATAGGTGCAGGGCCCCATAGATCACAATGTATTTTGTAGAAAGGAGTCTTAGCTCTTTCATTATTTCTAGCAAAGGGCAATTTACAGCTCTTCCCCATTTGACAACTAGTGCACAAATGGGGAGTTGAAGTCCATTTAGACACAAAAATATTTCTCTTTGAAGACAAAGTTTTTAAGGTACGCAAGTTTGGGTGTCCAAGACGTTGATGCCATATTGAGTCTGCTGCCTTATTTGTTACTACCGCAAGAGCATGCTTTTCTCCTTCATCAAGTGCATATAAGTGCCCTTTTCTAGTACCTTTGGCCAGAATTGCCTGTGTTGTTTGATCCTTAATCACAAAACCAGTAGATGAGAACTCAAAAATACAGTTATTATCATCAGTAAACTTGCTAATAGAAATAAGATTTTTTTTGAGTTCAAGCACAACTAAAACATTTTTAAGTTTTAAAGGGCCAACTGACATAGATCCAACATGTGAGATCTGCAAGGGCGTTCCATCACCTGTGTAAACTTTTTGATTACCATTATAAGGTCTTTTCACAAAGAGATTACCTGCTTCTAAGGTCATATGATCAGTAGCTGCAATGTCAGCATAATGTCTTGGATCCTTTTCATCTTCCAAAGACAGAGTTGCAAGGGCTTGAGGTAGCTCTTCACTTTGATATGCATGATCAAACCTGTACCAACACTTTAAGGCAGTATGACCATTAATTCCACATATTTGGCAAGAGTTTTCACCTTGGGTTGTCATGTTTCTGGTCTGAAATCTCTTCTGCGTCATGTGTTGCTGGGGTGCAGGATTATTGTTGACTAATTGATTTTTATGGTTACCAAACCGGTTGTAGTTACCAGCTTGGACAAATCCTCTTCCCCTGGAATTAAAATGTCTACCTCCATAGCCTCTGTCACGATGACCTCTTCCTCTTTGAGCGACAAACACCTGACTGAAAATAGGAGCTTTATTTTTGTTTTCTTATTTCTGGACTTGCAGATCCTGTTCATAATTTTGTAATCCTGCAATATATTGGTTAAATGTAGGATACGGAGCCTTTGAGAGAACAGCCAGATTGTAGGGTTGATAGCATGACCCTACAACTTTGGAGAGTTGAAAAACTTTGTCAAGATCATCAAGGGGTTTTTGAATCGCTGCAAGACTGTCACATGTTTTCTTGAATTTTCTGATGAAGTCTTCAAGAGATTCATCATCACCTTTCTTGACAATCAATTGTCCCTTTAGATACAGCTCCTGTTCTTTTGTGGACGCCAAATAATGCTCCTGGAGACACTTCCAAATCTGGTAGGTTGAGTTACAACCAACAACCAGGCTTAGAGAATCTTCATTCATGGTTCCAAGCAACCAACTGGTAAGGAGTCCATCGTTGTTTAACCAGACTTCATAGTCTTGGTTGGGTACCTCTTTGTCATTCTTAATGACAGTCATTGCTGGAGCTTCCTCCTCAAGGTGATGGAGAAGCTGAGCACTTCGAATTAGTGGATAGATTTGAGATTTCCACAAAAGAAAGTTGGTGCTAGATAGTTTAACGGACACCAGACTAGCCATTTGGTGGAAATTTTGAATGGTAAGTGATGTTTTGGCTTTGGCCATGATCTGGTTGGAAATAAAGAACAAACCTGGGATTTTCCTTTCTCACAGAAAATTAGATTACAGAGATGAGTATTCAAATGCAGGAATCGTACTGCTCTGATACCATGTAGAAGTAAAGAAGAAGAGGATGGTGTATTGGAAAATACTCAATTGTATTCCCTTGATTCATTCTGTACAAGAAGCTGATATATATACAAAT